ACAAGCCTCTGAGTAAGTCTCATGATCAGGCCTTTGTCACATGGACCACGTCTCTTGTAAAACCTATTGTCAGCCCACTAGCTCCCATTGCTGCCGCGTATATCCTGTTTCTATCTCTAATACCAAGTCTATGAATTCTCATGCCCTAGTCTCTTGTGGGCCAACCCACAAATGTTGTGGTACTGCTTGCTTTGACTAGTTTTAATGTCGTACCACAACGTTTGTGGGTTGGCACACTAGATATTAGGGTATAGTAATCCATAGACTTGGTATTATAGATAGCAAGAGGATAGAAACAGTGGAAGCTAGAGCTGGTTGCCTAACAATAGTCGTGATTCAAGGATTACGTCTGTGATCAAACACGTCTATTTTTGGCCAAAATAGCTTTAGTCACCACCGCGTCCTTCCTATTTCTATCTGTAATACCATGTCCATCACTTCCTACGTACTATTCTCTTGTGTGCCAATCCACAAATGTTGTGGTTCTACCTGTTTTGATTAGGCTCGCTGAATGGCTAGACTCACTGACGATGTCGACTACGATGCTGGCGAAGCGTCTGGGAAAGTACCACGTCCACAATCCAACTTTGGAAATAATAATGCATACAATGGACTCCGGACTAGGTATGTTCCTCTAAGTCTTCCTACCAATGTGACCAAGTTGAGAAAAAAGACAAGGTCAAACAACTTCTATACAACGAAAGGAGACTGCGACCACACAAAAGGCCACATCATCTTGGTCTTCATACCTACGATTAAGCTACAAGAATTGTCTGGCATAGGGTATCTGATGCTTTTAATGACTCCTCAAGCCCTTTTATTTCCTCCTAACTCTGCGAAGGGTATGTATAACTTGGTAAAAATGAGTATACTGAAGCCCTGACCTGGGGAATAACAATTTCTCGACCGATATGCTTCCACCTGAGCTTGAGCAAAAGAAACTCCTTCAATACTAATGTCCTCTGCAGCCTGCGAGGTCTCAGCAAAGCCCTTCAGGAGTATAGCCACAGCTTGGCTCTTTCGACTTAGCCTGCCCGAAGCAAGCATGCTCCTCACCAATGTGGAGCGTAAGTCAGCGCGTGAATACTTTGATCCAATGCTCTTAATTTCTGTTCCGTTTCCTGTTGTTTTAGCATCAGGTACAGATTTCTGCCATTCAGTAGGATGAACTGGAGATAAGTTAAGGCTAGCCACGGATGATGAGTAAATTGTAGTATCTGAAAAATTGAGACAATATCTTCAGGATAAAAAATCAGAAAATTAAGGAAACCACAAAATTTTATATTTTAGTGCATTGATTAAAAGAAAAGAAAACACTTAACGTCTAAAGGATTATTGCGCTATACAACATATACAAATTACTTAATCTGAAGAATTATTTAGTTTAAATGGGACTTTGGTATTCCTACCTTTCCCTTAATGAGTTTGGTATATATGTTAATTAATGCATAGTTAATTTGTATTTTTTGCTGTCTTATCGGTTTTATAGCCTAAAGTGAAGAGAGAATACTATTATGAATGTCTTTATGTTTACAAATGATCCCATCCTGAAACTGTAACCATTGTTGGGTACCAGGTAGTGATTTCTTAATGTATGAGCGTTACAGGTTTGTAGAAATAATTCTTGGATTACGCTCATTAATCTGGAAATTAGTCAGGTTATGCTAAATAGAACTAAATTCACCTGATGGTAATCCTTTAACAGAGTCAGCCTCGATCTCATGTATGTATACGTAAGTCGAACTATTCTGGCTCATGCCAAGCTCTCCTGAGGATTTTTTAGGTTTGCTTTCATAGTTTTCTTCCATTAAGCCATCGCAATCTGAGTGATATTGACAAGCACCCCTACCTGTGGAGGCATCAACAATAGCAAAGTTGGCGGAAGAAGCAAGAGTTTCGCGGTCCAGAGGCGAAGGGAAGGGGCAGTGAACGTTGTGCTGGTCCTCAAAATAGTCGGCACGTTCGTCACAGTCGCCTGAATGACAGGGCGGGCTATTCAGCTCTTTGTGTCCAGTGACTGGTAGAAATTGGCTGTTGCCGATACTATCACTGCAACGTATTGGACAATCTTCATTGTTAGCCAAAGCATGAGATAATGGAGGCTTTTTAACTCGCGACATTATATTTTCAAGTCTCCGTCTCCTAGCTTCACGCTCAGCTGCCTCAATGGCTGAGATTGCTGTGGTCATTCCACCAGGCTTCAAAGCATAATTTTTATTGTCATTTGGACGCAAGAAGTGGAAAGGCAAATGGCAAATAAGAAGAAATTTACTTCAGGTTATTAGAACGACAGACCATTATAAAAGATGGTTTCCAATATTTCCTCAAAGTATACAGGCTGATCTTAGGAGAATGCTACTATCTATACTCACACCTGAAAACAATGTTTCCCGTGTCCAATCACTTTTGAAGATAATAGTAAGTAAACTTATTCTACATGAATTTTTGTGTGCAACCCACAAACGTTGGGGTTCAACATTGAATCTAATCAAAGCAAGCAGTATCACAACATTTGTGGGTTAGAACACAAGAGAATAAGGCATAGCAAGGCATATACTTGGTATTACGGATATAAATAGTATAGACGCGGCCTAAACTGGATCTGGTTGGCTGACAGTAGGTTCAACCATATACGTGGTCCAGTAGGCTTGACGATGAAACTTACTCAGAGGCTTTAGCCACGATTTAGTCACCCAGACGCATGGAAAGGGGAATAACGCCTCAAGTAGCACAGATGGGGTGGCAGGAGTCGAGTTAAATACGTGAACCAGGAATATAGCAGACTGATCTTACGAGGCAAGAGAAAGAATATGATAAGACCTAGGAAAGGAGGACTGCGTAACAATATGGCAGAGTCTGATCAACATTTCATACACAAGGGTGAAGCGGGTGAGAACGACAGCGTAGAGTTTAAAGGGTTTTCATGAATGCCGCTCAAAGGGGGACACCAAACTACATCTAAATATATGAAGAAAAGTTGGGTTTCGAGGAATCTCTTGTTTCATAATTGTTGGGATTACTTCCATTTCG